AAAAACGAAACACACGCTGGTAGGGAACATGTAGGGAAAGTTGAAAACAATTTGTTCGATAGCCTTTATTTTCTGAGGAATCACCTTAAACCTAATTCTAATTTTTGGTTTAGTGAAGTAACGAGTTTCGGTGCTCATTGTTAGTTAGGCATGAATATTATTAATATAGACAGTATTTTTCGTCTCCATTTTCATCATTATCACTATTACTGTCATCGTTACGATCTAAAAATATGTATTTTTTCTTTTATTCATGTATACATTTATGTTTCTCATAGAAAGTCTATGTACTCATTTCAAAAATTCCTCGTACATCTTTACAAAATCGGGAGAAAATTGGTGGAAGAGCCGTGAGGTCTGCTACATTCATAGAGGAGACCTTGTTTCCATAGAAACCGATGAAGAATGGAAATTTATCAAGGATGAGATTCAAAAGCGTAATAGTTGGAATACTACTACGTGGCATATTGGTTTATTCAAGTCTTACAGAGATGGGACTTGGACATGGCTAAGTCGAGAACCACTGAATATTTTGAAATGGCGAGATTCTGAGCCAAACGGTAACGACTACCTGAAAGCGGAAATATCCAAGAATGAAGGCCTCTTTAACGGTATCACTGGAGATGATGAAAATGCCTTCATCTGTGAATTTCCTGAGGGTAAGCAAACATTCCACCCATAAAGTACATTAAGTGCTAAACCATTTCCGCTTAGCACTGGTCCCGTTAAAAATTATTTCGATGATTTATTTTGAGAGGTAAATATATTGCTCTCACAATATCGAAAGCTCTCCTAACTTGAATGTGTAAGCGGTAAATAAACTGTTCAGTGCGCATTAGCGGTTTCAAATTAGGATAACTCACACTTGTATTTAACTATGCGTTTTTTTTTTCAGCCCGTTCTGATCAAATAAGGGAGGGGAGGTGGCTCAGGCTGCTAGTCAACCTTGTTATAAGTGTCATACAATAAGTACAATAATCGCATGAGCTTACAGATAATCTTAGTGCAATAATTCAAAGTAGAATATCCGAAATAGAAGACGTCGCTGTGAAGAAATATGTGTCAAGTACCACTCCTGGTAAAAGCTGCTCTCTGACCAAAAAAGAGTTTTCCGTTATTTTTTGCCAATGAAAAATTTCGGGACATATGTTTTATAAAAAGTTTCATGGTTCTAGAATCATCCTTTATTTCGCTGTGCCGCAAGCCACAGCAAGTTTTCGACGTGCAAAGTGCCTGAAAGAAACGCGATCGAAAGGATACATTTCTCAAAATTTGTCGAGAGAGCGTTCACTGCAGTCGGTGAGTGTTTGCATGTTGTGTTCATAATAACAGT